CCCCAAAACCCCAAAACCCCAAAACCCCAAAACCCCTTCAAGCCTTAAGCCTCTTGATTTATATAATTATTAAAGACTGGTTGCAGAGGACATGGAAAACAGAAGGTGAGTGGAAGAAAATTGGGATTTTAGAAGGGCTTATTGGAATGGAGGATTTTCAAAGGTAGTGGATTTAGGGATTATGGGCTATTTTTTTGTGAATGTGTTAGGATGGCTAGTTTGTATTATTTTGGGTGATTTTTTATGTGTAGAAAATATGAAAGTTTTGATTTGTTGGAAATTTTGATTTTTATATCATTTATTAGTGATGAAGAAGGTATGCTCAAAGAGATCAGAGATAGAGAATATCGATTGTCCTGAACTGTTTATCATAAAATTAAAGCAACAGAAATGAAGACAAATTGATTTGATGCAAATTTGAAATCTAAGCATTATTGGAGCCATAGACTTTATCTGAATTTTCAGAAATCATACCCAAAATAAGTTCATTAAGAGCCTACATCTAATGAAACTGTTTAATGTGCCTAAGATCAATCTAAATTATATTGGTAGAAAGAACAAGTGTATTTTGAATTTTCTAAAATCTTCACTCCCAGATGAAGTACACGAATTATGAATGCATACTGGGACTTCATCTAATATCCCCATCTGCTACTACTTCAAGCAAATTCTTCGAATTAATCACAAGGTACTGAAGAAGGTCAGTTTCATTCGATTTTCGATAAAACGGAACCAATTGATGAGATTAATGGTCTCCTTCAAGCATGTTAAAGTATTCTGACTTAGCTTTTGCAAACTTTCTATTCCTGAACCTTTTGATTTATCAAAATCAATGCAAAATACCCAGATAGTGAGAATAGATTTATACAACACAGGAGGAAAGTTACAGAGTGATTGGGAACACAACCAAGAGGAATTCAAGACTCTAATTGAAAGTCTTGCTACTTCTCCAGCCTTAAAGACCACATTCAAGGAGATAGATCTCACCAATTGAGGGCTAACTAAAAGTGAAGCCAGGTTAGTAGTACAAAACAATGGTTTTGAGGTACTCCAAGTGCAAATAATATCCTAGTCTCTCTGTATTTAACCCTCTAAATCTCTATTTTTCCAGTTAGGCTCCTTCTCTTCACTGCTCTTATATCAAATTTTGTTGTTCTTTGGTCCTCTTAGCTCATGAAAGGAAGCCTGCCTTCGATGCTTGAAAATCTGGTTTCAATGGGTAATAGCTCTAGCGGGGTTTTGGGGTTTTGGGGTTTTGGGGTTTTGGGGTTTTGGGGTTTTGGGG